TGGGGGAGCGGCGGGTGTAGAGGGGGGGGGGGGGGGTTGGCCGGGGAGCAGCGATTGCTGCTCGGGAACTGTCTGGGTATCGGTCGGCGGGTGGTGAGCAATTGCATTGTGCATCACTTGCTTTGTATATTATTACTATTGTTATTATATTGTTATTATTATCATTACTATTTTACTTTATTTCAATTATTAAACTGTTCTTATTTCAACCCAGGAGTGTTTCTCACTCTTACTCCTCTGATTCTCTGCCCCATCCCATCGGGGTAGGGGGAGTGAGCAAGCGGCTGTGTGGTGCTGAGTTGCTGGCTGGGGCTAAACCACGACAAGGACTTTTCACTGTGCTTGATACTTAAATACAGTTGCTTGTGTTGATGTGCTTTGCTGGGTTTTCTGTATGCTTCTTCCTCCTCTGTGGCTGTCTAGAGTTGGTCTGGCTGCAGCTTGCAAGGATCTGCTCTTGTGGCATTGCTGTAACACAGCCTTCGTAATCTCAGGGACTTATTTTGGGGGCTTTCCAGCAGTGTTACTACAGACTCGCTGTAGCTGAAGGAGCGGAAGAAGGCTGGTAAGGCCTAGTACAGCTTAGGTGGAGAAGCACTGGATCACAAAGTGCGTTATTCCTTTGTGGGTTGGCAATGTTTTGAATGCATTAGTTACTAATCTTTATCTGTACTAAAGCTAGTGCCGGTTCAGTGGAAATTTTTTAACTCCTTATCTGCCTGATTCATCAAAAAGGAGAAATGCAATAGTACCCCTACCTTTTATGCTTGGTGAGCAAAACCTAGTGATAAATACGTTTATTTGGACCTGCTCTGTAGAATGCTGCTTGTGTTACTTGGTTTATTTCATGTGCCTTTTAAGGTGCCAGATTTCCACAGACAAAATTTTGTTGTGGTCCTTTGTAACCAGTTAAGTTTTCCTTGCAAAGTGTTTAACAGCTAAAAGCTTTAAGGGACTAACTTGTGTATGCTTGGTCAGAACACTATCATGAAGACTTGCTAGTTATAGTTTGTTATTTAAAGAAGCTTTGAATTCATAGCTGTTTATAATTATCAGGTGGAAAATAGCCTGCCTTGTCACTTGTGCTCCTGTATTTCTTATATACTTTGGAAGCAATGCTGTACTAAGTCTGAATGGAGAAATCCAGTATACTTCCCTCTTTCTCTGACTGTCTTGCATTAGAACCAAGTATTATCATTTTTGTGAGAAAGGATCGCTATAATGATGGTGAAACAGTCCATACTGCTTTTATTAAAACCAGTTTTTTGTGCTTTTTTCATTTAGACTTTACAGCAGCAAGAATGCAAGCTTCTCTATAGTCGTAAAGAAGGTCAGCGTCAAGAAAACAAAAACAAAAATAGATACAAAAACATTTTACCCTGTAAGTATTGATTTCTTTCATTATAATGTAAGCCTGCTACTTTTCTATGCTTTATTTTCTTAGCTCATAAATACAGGGTTAATTAATCACCACTGTGCTTTTTCTTCTCTTTAGTGATAATTTCCCCTCTTATGTTGTCAGTATTAGCCCATGCAATTTCCAATTTGTGTTCAAACACTTGCACTTTGTAGATACCAGCATTTCTATTCCCAAATACTGTTTTTATCTTCAGCTTTTATTTAAAAGCGTCACATCCCTAAACTGTTATTCAGCAAACTGGAATGCTTAAATTTAAGAGGATTAATTTGTAGTACAAAACTGCATGGCGCAAATCCAGTGGCTATTTGCCTTGACTTAGTGCTTGACTGTCCATGTACTCATGAGTTACTAGGGGTCTTGAATACTTATTTTGATCTAGCTTGTTATGAATTGGCCACTTGTTTTAAGAAATGGCAAAGGAGGAAAGGTTGACTATTCTAGCTGCTAATTTACTGAGTTTGATAACTTAATAGCTTCTGGTAGCAATAAGAAATGTACCTGTCTGTGGGATATTTAAAAATAGCTGTGTGTTCACAACTGTAGAATGCAAGTGCTTAACGTGCATATATATTCTTCTAGTTGATCATACCAGAGTTGTTCTACATGATGGTGATCCAAATGAACCTGTTTCAGACTATATCAATGCTAATATTATTATGGTAAGTATATTCCTACCTACAGGAATCTTGTTAGCACAGCACATATCTACTCTTTAATGCACTCACCTAAATCCAAGTTAGTCTTGTAACCATCTGTCACCATTTGTTAAATTGTTTTTTCTCTAGCCTGAGTTTGAAACCAAGTGCAACAACTCAAAGCCAAAAAAAAGCTACATTGCTACTCAAGGTTGCCTGCAGAATACAGTGAATGATTTTTGGAGGATGGTGTTCCAGGAGAATTCTCGAGTTATTGTTATGACAACAAAAGAAGTTGAAAGAGGAAAGGTAAAAACAGACTCTCAAACTGGCCTTAGGAAAGGTCATGACATTTGAATGCAAGTAAGGACTAAACTCACTTGGTTGTATTGATTTACATGCTGAAATCTGGTGTGCCACCACTGTCTTTGGAGACCTGGAAGCTGCTGAGTGTCCTTTTTTATTGGTGCCTGTGGGAATAGATATCTTACCCTATCATCAGGCCTCCCTTTTTTAAGGGTTGACTGATTAAATTTTAGCTACTGAAGGTGAATCTATGTATTTTAAAATTATTCGGGGAACGAGGCACTGGAACTCAAGGTGTAGCTAAAAAGGCATTCTGTGTACTTGAAGGGGTAAACTCCCTGTTCCTGTAACAAAAGTATTGCCATTTATTTTAGCTTGCCAAGCTTGTATAGACTTTACTAGAAAAGCAGAATTGTGGGACTTTATTACCATAAGACTGAATTTAGATGATATTGTTTCTTACCTAAAAACTACAATATAATGTGAAAGTTATTGCCCCAGATTCACCTCATTCAAGTCACGTTTACTAGACTCTACTAGAATGCTGGTCTGTCTTCTGGCTTTACTTTCTATGCTTGAATTTGATAACATTCTTATTACATGCTGAGCTAGTGATTACAACTGAAACTGTACCTGGTTAGGAATCCCTCAAACAGATTTAGCACTTTTATTCCTAAAGTCAGGTCCTTTGCCTTTGACTGCCCTGGTCTGCATGAAGACAGCTGCCTCTTCAGTGTCAGGAATCTGTAAGCCCCTTGTGAACAAATCTGGCAGTATTTAATACTATGAAAGAGGAAATTTTCCTGCAACGGTGTATCCCAAGAACCTGCATTTTACCTTTAAAGTGTAGAGTTTTGTCTTATTCACCGTCTTCTGGCAAATCTGAGGCTATTACTTTGTTTCTGGGTTCTAATGACACATGGCAGGAAAGCATAGGAAATAGTTGAATACTGATATTCTGGCAATGGTCACATACTGCTTCCTGTATATAGTATAGTTTTATCTTTGGAATGTGCTGCTTCTGATCTTTTTTCTGTTTGGTAAACAGTTTCTGTTCTCTTTTTTGGGGTTTTTTTTTGGGGGGGGGGGTTGCCCCTTAAGTTTCTCTGCTTTTTCCACATACCATTGTCCACCTTTTTCAATAATCTGATGATCTGCTTCTGAATGGAAAGCTGTTGTCTTGTTAGATGAACGTCACTTTTGGGAAAAAAAAAAAAAGGAATTGAAAGCATAGCTAATGTTTTTCTATGGGTGACTGATAATTGCGGGTGTTCCTTACCACTGCTGCAAAAAAAGAGGCTTTGTATATATGTACTGAAAGCAAATAGCAGTGGACTTCATGGGCTTCTCTTCCTAATCTAGGTATGAAAGCTGCCATTAGTGGTGTTTATAGAAACCATTAGACTCTGTCTTGGGGATTTTTTTTTAGGCTTTGTAAACTTCTGCCCATTCGTCACCCTTATAAAGGGGCATGATTTGTGTTTCCTTCCTGAGAATGAACTGAAGGAGGGAGAAGCTACCCCTTTCCAGTGACCTTCCTCTTAGATCTTTCTCTTGAAGAAGAGAAATAAATTATGGGGTTGTTTTGGAGGAGTTGACTTGAATACACTTAGTACACTTTTTTGGATAACCTACAGAATGGTCTGTGCTCCTCTGAAGTTTCTCCATGATTCTTTCCAAATTCTGCTAAGCCTGTTTTCTGTGCTCTGGCTCTATAAAACGTTTTAATATCTGGTTACTTAATCAGTGCTGCATGCATTGATTTTTTTTTTTATATTTTTTTTTTCCTTTTTCTTGATGCCTATTTCACTTCTTCAAGAATTGCAAATAACAGTCCTGATATAAAATAAAAGCTTTTTATCTCAGGCCAAGATGCTTTCAGATCTGCAGGAAGGAGAGAAGTCTCTACATCAGAGATGACTTCAAGAGCATGTTGCCTAAGGAAGTGAGGCACTATGGAACATCTCAGATCTGCACAGAGTTCTGAATATGCTTTAGAATGCACTGTAGCAGCAGCAAATACTTACAAATTAAAATAGTGGTGTTCTGGAGGCAGTCCATTGAGTTGATAATACATGCATCCACTCTATCAGACTAAAGCTTGTTTTAGCATTGTGTGTTACTGTTCAGACTTGCTATACCAACTGCTCTTGTGTTCAGAGTTCTGTATTGAAACTGCAAGTTGTGTTGGCATACGCTAAGATGAACATCTTTTCTTTAGCTTGTACCTTTTTGGATGGAAAGAGGGCAAAAGTAACAGAAAAACATCTTGTTGCCTAAGTAGGCTGCAAAGCATGTGTTCTATCATCTCTTGCTGTATCTTGTGTTGGCAGAAGGAACTTTCTTGTTGCCGTGTTTTCTCATAAATATGCAGTAGTAACTGCAAATAGGAAATGTTTCTCTGTAGTACTTGGTGTTTGGTCTGCACTTGCTATTGCTGGAAGCTGCATCTATATACCCACTATAACATCTCATTGAATACTGTGTGGACTTGTATTACATTCACAGGCTAACAGGAG